AAAACGAATTTTGAAAGATGTAAATCGAATGTTGAATGTTGAAAACGAATGTTGAATGCTGATAATCGAATGTTGAAAACGAATGTTGAATGCTGAAAACGAATGTTGAATGTTGAAAACGAATGTTGAATGTTGAAAATCGAATGTTGAAACGAATGTTGAAAACGAATGTTAAAATGTTGAAAATCGAGTGTTGAAATAAAAAAATGGAAAAAAAAGTTTAACAAAAAAAAAAAGTTTTGAATGTTGAATGTTGAAATTGAAAGTTATTGAATATTGAAAATAAAAAGTACAAAAAAAAAAAAAAAAAAAAAAAAATTGAATGTTGAATGTTGAATATTGAACCAACTTGATATTATATCTCGCTTTTGCGACATAAATGTTGTCTCTGATATGTACAGATGGCTTAGAGTATTATTTCTTGAAGTTTACATGAAGCTCAATTGTCTTTTGTAAATATAGATGCCGGTGAGTATTTCTGTGGAGTGAGTAAGCGAATTCGTTTCGGAGTGAGTCCCTTTTGCGGCGTGCACGTGTGCTTTGTAGGGGAAACTGGTGTAGAAATTTGATGAAGTTTATGCGTTGGTGACTTCAGGCAAGTCTTATACGGAGGCCTGCTCTGTGATTTTGCTCCATGTTTTGGTGCATTAAGCCATGTCTGTGACTTCTTCCTGACCATGATTGTAACTGGAAGGGATTAAGGTTCAAAACATGCACATTACTTAAAAAAACTAAAATATGGGCCAAATGAAATACCTTAAGTTTGTTATCAGTAATCATAACAAAGAAAGTGTGTTTGAATTACAAACTATCAGAAAGAAACTAAATTATAGGCAAATCTATCGTTGTTTTGATGTATGCCTCACCCCCTTGCAACGCAAAATCTGACACACCGAGCGACATATTAAATTTCAATAAAGAATTAACTTTAAAACCGATAAATATTGACTAAGAAGCTGGCATTTGGTTAACATCTATGAGAGAAATTCATTTCTATTTAAATCATACTGGAAAAAAAATCGTCGACAGTAGTTTTTCATCCTGAAACTTGCATATGAAGTCTCAAAATATGCAACACGGAAAACTGCGGAGAGCGGTATAAGAAAGCGGAGCACTGAAAACGTTTGCCTTAACCTGCTGGAAATAGATTATGACTCGGTTCCTTCCGTGCAATACATAATTTGGTGCTAAAAATTCTCAAAAAAGAAATATTGATATTTATACTTTCCTTGGTCGTTTTTTCAAACATATCCAACACACCGCATGTTGGGTTCTACACGGTGAAACTGGCCGCTGACTTTGAACCCTCAGTAAACATAGACGACGAAAGGTTTACCCAAATTCCTTTTGATGTCATTCGTATCTTTATTTTGATTAACTATATGCATAATATTATGTATGAAGATTGAGAGATTAGGAAGATATAACCAACGCACTGGGCCCTTTTACCTAAAATGTCGACGATTTTTAATTGATAGTGACACTTTAATCCCTCCGTACATAACGAAGATGCCATTTTTCTAGGAAATCCTTTTGATAGGATCTGTATACATACGTAGTCTAAAAGATTATAAAATTTTTGAATGGTTTTACACTAGTCATTTTGGGGGCCCTTTATAGCTTGCTGTTCGGTGTGAGCCAAGGCTCCGTGTTGAAGGCCGTACTTTGACCTACATGTATAATGGTTACTTTTACAAATTGTGACTTGGATGGAGAGTTGTCTCATTGACTTTCATACCACATCTTCTTATATCTATTGAACGACCAGGGGGTCTCACTGCTTTTTCAATGGTAGATTTCTATGATATATTTTGAATATCAGACTGGCACTTTGAGTCCTTTGTAAACATAGAATACGAGAAGTTGACCCAAATTCCTTTTGATGTCATTTTTATCTATGTATAAGTTAATTATATGCATAATATTAGGAAGATGTAGCTAACGCACTGGGCCCTTTTACCTGTATATATATTTTGTATATTAAGTGAATCGAAAAATTAAAAAAAATCGGCTTTCCATATGTGGGTTGGTGATCAAGTAGTTAAGACCGATGGGTACAGTGCTGAAGGTCCCGGGTTTGATCCCGACTCGGGGGCGCTGGAAATTTCAGTACATTAGATCACCCTCCCACAAACATCTCTGGTACCTAGACCGGAGTTTAAACTAGAATGGGTACTTTGGGGCCTCGATTGGTCAAAGTGGCCCCCGACTTTGACCAGGAGATCAATCTTCAGATATCTCATCGGTTTGTCTGTTCCCCGGTGGTTCTCTCCGAGTACTTCGGCTTCCACCAATAATTATAAGACCTCCCGGTGTCATAGCACTCTCGTGTTGTTGGGTTGGGGATATATGTCCTTGGTGGTGGGTTGTATACATGTATATGTTAGTGACACATCTCCATTAATCCTGTTAGGGAGTGTACATGGAACTCGGGAGCTCCGAATAACGGAGGTATCAACCAGTATATACATACATAGTTGTTTCTATTTAATAGTTGATCTTTCATTTGTTCAACGATACATATTTTCGAACATCCTGGCACTTAAAATCCTTGGAGGTGAGATTCTCAGGGTTTTACCCCAAACTCTATGGGAAAATACAATTTTCAATTCCAATTTCAAACCAAACGGTAAAAGATATCACAAAGATATTTTTAACCCATGTCTAATATGATCAGGATATTTGCAAAAACGATCTCAAATTAATGATTCAACAAAAAATAAATTGAGTTTTAAATTTGTGTTGTTATATATGGTAAAACCTGAGGATTTGTTTCTGCTTCAACTCCAATATTCAAATATTTAAACACAATCTAATTATCTGATTGGTCAATCTTCAGCTGTGATGCAAGCATGAAATTATGTATCGCAATAATAAATGCTTTTAAAAACAAGCGTTCTGAGAGTATTGCATGGCATTACATAGTCCCCTACCGGTTAAAAATTCATTATACTGGAACAAAATTCTAACTTGATCTATAACTTGTCATGGTGTTAACTTTATAACAAATATCAAGTCAATATCTTCAAGCATGATGAAAAAAGTGTGGAAAACTGATTTTTTGAGTGAATTTTCTAAGTCCAAGGACCATAACTCTGCACAAAATCATCAGACCGCAACAAAATTTGAACTTGGTCTGTAACTTGTCATGATAAAACAATACACCAAATGTCAAATCAATATCTTTTAGGACGAAGAAAAAAAAAGTGGAAAACTGAGTTGCCCAACTGACAGATGGACAGACATACAGACAGACACAGACAGACAGAGTGCAAACCTAAAGTCCTCTTCGACTTCGTCGGTAAGGGACCTTTTAAAGTACCTATTGTATGACATCAAGGGCAGTGAAAAACAAGAGGCTCTCAAGAGCCTGAATCGCTCACCTGTTATTTTTTTTGCTTAAATCTTTCATCAATGATTATTTTTGCTTTTTACCCATATGTTCCATTTTAGCCATAGTGTCTATGTTTCTTGACGTACAAGGAAATGAAATACAAAATTCATACTAGATTCATTTGAGAAGATTTTTAAAGTTAAAAAACATAAAACAACTTGTGTAAAATTGTCCTTAAAGGGCAATAACTCCTTAAGGGGTCAATAGACAATTTTGGTCATATTAAACTTTTTTGAAGATCTTACTTTGCTGAACATTTTTGCTGTTTACAGTTTATCTTTATCTTCAATAATATTCAAGATAATAACCAAAAACTGCAAAATTTCCTTAAAACAACTAATTTAGTGGCAGCAACCCAACAATGGGTTGTTCGGTGTGTCTGAAAATTTCAGGGCTGATAGATCTTGACCTTTTGAACATTTTAACCCCATGTCAGATTTGCTCTAAATGCTTTAGTTTCTGAGATATAAGCCAAAAACTGCATTACACCCCTATGTTCTATTTTTAGCCATGGCGGCCATGTTTGTTGATGGATCAAAATTTCGGATACAATTCATAAACTAGATTCCTAAAGGAACATTCATTCAAAGTTAAGAAGTATTAGGCACAATGGTTTCAGAAGAGAAGATTTTTAAATGTTAGCAAACTTGATGAACACATTTCGTAAAATTGTCTTTAGAGGGCAATAACTCCTTGAGGGGTCAATTGACAAACTTGGTCATTTAACTTTTTTGTAGATCTTACTTTGCTGAACATTATTGCTGTTTACAGTTTATATCTATCTATAATAATATTCAAGATAACAACAAAAAACTGCAAAATTTCCTTAAAACTACCGATTTAGTGGCAGCAACCCAACAATGGGTTGTTCGATTTGTCTGAAAATATGTTGACTGATAGATCTTGACCAATTGAACAATTTTACCCCATGTCAGATTTGCTCTAAAAGCTTTAGTTTTGGAGATATAAGCAAAAAACTGCATTTGACCCCTATGTTCTATTTTTAGCCATGGCGGCCATGTTTGTCGATGGATCAAAACTTCGGATACAATTTATAAACTAGATACCCTAAGGTACATTTAGTTAAAGTTTGAAGGTATTTGGCCCAGTAGTTTCAGAGGAGAAGATTTTTGAAATAGTTTACGACGACAGACGATGACGACAGACGACGGACGCCAAGTGATGGCATAAGCTCACATGGGGCCCTTCAGGCCCCGGTGAGCTAAAAAGATGAAGTATTGGTATTATATGAGTTGGAAATCATGGTATTTCATTGCAACCAATGTAAACATACACCATAACCTTCAATAGTTGTCAGTTATCATTCTCACACCAGTAAGGCATTGACAATCAAATATTGTAAAAATAAGAAATGTTTGAATAATTGCGAAAATTGATACCATACATGTCTTGCAAAAATAAAATCCGCAATTCTGAATACTGATGTCATTTTTTGTATGCAGCATTTCCGGAAATATCAATAACCCGGTAATAAATTTTTATTATTGTTCAACTTTTTCCATATTAAATGCACACAAAATTGTCTAAATTGACAGTAGTTTTATATCATCATTAGATTTTGTATAATTCTATAAGAGAAATAATATATTGTTATATATTTTATTTACCATAATATGTATGATACAAAATAATATTTATTGACAACAATGAAATATATTTATCATTAATACCATATAAAAATAAAATGTGGTATGACTACAAATAAAATAACTATCTACCTGCGACCAATAAGTGTGGATGTCAGCAGTTCTATGTCACTGTACGGCCTTCAATAATGAGCAAAACCCATGTACGCCCTTCAATAATAAGCAAAACCCATACGGTATAGCTATGAAAGACCCAGACATGACATGCAAAATATGAAACAATTCAATTAAGAAAACCAACAGCCAGATTAATTTACAAACTTATTAAAAAAAAATATGACAGCAACCAATGACAAACACTGAACTACAGGCTCCTGACTTGAAACAGGTACATATAGAATTTAACCATGTCAGTCTTGCTATGGAACTTTTTTAGTTAAACAATTTTATATATAGCACTTTCATGAATTCAAACTACAGTGATTCATGTACATGTCTAAATAGAACTCCTTAAAAGATCTGAAAAAAAAAAAATCAGTTTAGAGAAGGTGTTCAGTTTGTACAGGTTTAAAATGTGTTGATGTTGATATAAGGGGACTTTATAGAAGTGAGCTGTCTGGTTAAGACAGATAACAAGTTTGGTCAGGTTTCACTGAATCATATTTCAAGGTAAAGTCATTGGTTTGTGGTTTTAAACTTTCAAGACATAAAATTAATGATAAACGTTGGGAAATGAAGATAAACCATTAACAGATCTACCAAGACATGAATAAAAGTAGTTCACAGTATGTAATTAATTTTCACACCATCTAACCCACCCTGCTGGATATCATGATTACATTCAAGCATATTGAAATTACGACTGGGTGAAACCCTCAATGATAGTGTAGATTATAAAACCATCCCTAAAGTATATAGAATGTAAACATTCAAAAATACATATTTCTACATGGGAAAGTTCTTATATCTTTAAACAGCAAAGGCTTGAGGTGTAAATAAAAAAGGACCCTGTATCTCGAAAAGCATTTTAAGCATAACTCAACATAATGTGCACAGCAATGTAATCACTGAAGCAAAAAAAATATTCAAGCAAAAAAAACAATTTACAATTGATTAATATAAAAATTATAATATCAAACAACAAATCTAATGTACTGTTGATTCATTTATGTTCGTGGATACACATTTTAGTGGAATGAGGAAAGCTTGTATTTTCATGAATATTTAATTTGGTCGATTTGCCAAAGTCTTCTTTTAAAATTAATAAATCCTTAAACATTAAAAATTGTGGATTATACCCACGAAATCCATGTAAATTGGTACCACACAAATTATAATGAATCTATAATAGGAATGACTGTAATATTTTTTCTGTCTATGAAGAAATAACATCAAAAATGTGGTGCACACTGTATAACCCGCGTAGCGGGTTATTTTAAAGTGTGCACCACATTTTTTATGTTATTTCGAATAGACAGAAAAAATATTAGTCATTTCTTATAATTTAATTCTAAATTCCATTTTAAACCTGAGTAAACCATGAAAAAACGTTGATGACGTCACGGTCACATGACAAAATTATGTCTATGAGCTGATAAAAAAAACAATGTCAGCCAATCAGAAGACGTGTTACATCCAAAATTAAATAAAATACATAATAAACAAAGAGTTGTCTAACCTGTATAACCTGCATAACCTAAACAACGCCAATAACAGCACATCTTATTAAACAAAAACTTTAACAAATGTTGATGCTACCATCAGCACCAATCATGGCACACCTTAGTCTGGCTATCGAAACTTTCCTTACAGACAAGACAATTTTTCAATGGCACTGACCATAGACCTAACATCAACATGAATAACTGGTGAAATGCATAAAAAAAAATTAAGATGAGATATGATTGCCAATGAGACAACTGTCAACTAGAGATCAAATGTTGTAAATTAAAGCAACTTGTTTATAGTTTTATAGTGTGAACATAGTGCATTTCAAGATACACACATTATACTATTTATATGCAGTTGCGTGGGAGATAAAAAGTTATACACATTAGAAATTTGTGTTCCAAAGAAATTAATGGAGGTGGTGCTGCTATTCTTTTGTTTTGGGTATGTTTGAACATCTTATCTTCAATTTTTCCCAAAAAATCTCAATTCTGCTAAATACAAATGTTATGGTAATCCTAAAATAAATATGCAGAAATATCTGCTGCAAAAATAAAGGTACACAAAGCTTCAAAACAGCAGGTTACGTAGACAGCTGAGTTGACTAGTAAACATTTTTTTGTGTATACTTAAAAATATATAAAATAACTTTCAACAAATATATTAAAAACATGAAAATGAAAGACATGAAAAAAAGGATTAAATTCCCTCAAATTTTTGTGTATCTCAACCCACTAGTTATAATATTTTAAGTTTCCCATAATTCTTTGTTTCAGATTTTCTGCGACATAGTCACTTCCTGATTAGACTTCTGTTTTCACTGTCTATTGTAGATGTACTAGACATTTCTTCATTGACATTATTTACAGATGCTGTATTAGGGCCTGAGATAACATTCTCTGGTTGTGGTGGAGGATTCTCACTGTTCTCTGTTACACTCTGTCAAATAGATAAAATATTTCATAAATAATAAACATTCAAGGTTAATAAACTGTTATCACAGAGATATGTCTCGCCTTTTTGTAATTTTGATAATGCAAATGTTGAAATTAAAATAGCAATACTTTAACATGTAAGTTATGCAAATATTCAAAGTCGATGAACCATGACTGAAGGTACATGGCTAAACAATCTCTATGGAATGAGATGTGCCAATGCTAATACAACTGCATACCAAATACCATTGACTTATTATAAGTCGTTCCTTTTAAACAAACCTAAACACAAACATTAACTTGTAAACTATGTAAAAGTTTCAAAGTCAATGAACCATGATTAGAGGTGGGGCTATATAATCTCCATGGAAACGATACTTGCAAATGCCAATAAATTTGCATACCAAATATCATTGACTTAACATTAGCAGTTCATCTTAAACTGATCTAATCACAAACTAATACATGTAAACTAAGCAAAAGTTTCAAAGTAAATAGACCATGACTGAGGGGGCGGGGCCAAATATTCTCCATGGAAATGAGATGTGCTAATGCTTATGCAACTGAACACCTATTAACATTGGCCTACCACTAATGGTTCCCCTTGAACTGACCTAATCACAAACTAATACATGTTAACTTAGCAAAATTTTCAAAGTCTATAGACCATGACTTAGGGGGCGGAGCTAAATAATCTCCATGGAAATGAGATATGCCAATGCTTACACAACTGCATACCAAATATCATTGACCTACCGCTAGTGGTTACCCATAAATTTACCTAATCACAAACTAATACATGTAAACTATGAAAAGTTTAAAAGTCAATAAAACTTGACTGAGGGGGCGGGGCCAAATAATCTCCATGGTAATGAGATGTGCCAATGATAATACAACTGCATACCAAATATCATTGACCTACCACTAGTGGTTCACCATGACCTAGACCTAATCACAAACTAATACATTGTTGACGCCGACGACGCCGGAAACAGCATACCTATGTCTCGCTTTTTGACTCCGTCAAGGCAAGACAAAAACAAATAATGTGCCACAGTTGAACTATTCATGTCATACAACCATCACTTTTCTTTTTTGGCATCATACTTTTTCTCTTGTAACATCAAAATTTTGAGGAAACAGCTGTGATATATAGTAATGGCAAATAAACAGCAGGAAGGTCCATACTTCTCATATGTACTTTTAAGAGCATTTGGTAGCAATAAATTATGCATATCAAAGACATGTTTTTTATGCTAATTATATACACAACAGCCCCTGTGGATTTTTCTTTTTCCACCTGCCCACAGTGGACAGCCAACCTGTGTCCACTCTAGGTATCTTCTCTTTTTTTTTGTTTAAATATTGATTACAAATGCTTGTCTGCTTTTTTTCAATTGATTGTACTTGCAAGTCTTTTGATTCAACAAAAGAAATTGCATGCCCACTCCTATGGGTGGGCAGAGTGGACAAGCTAGAAATTTTGCCCACTCGGTGCCCACTCCCACTGTGGGTGGGTGAACAAAGCAAAATCCGCCTGAACTGTAGTGTATAAGTGCCATCTTGAACATTATTCTATCTTGAACATTATTCTACATCTTTTATCAATCTTTCAGATGAAGAACAGCAACTTAATGCTCTTCATTTCAGTCTTCACGAAAAAAACACCTTTTGACAATGAATAAGTGAAATTTGTACTAAAATAATAATTTTGGATTTGCAAAATAACAATTACTGCTCCTAAAAATATCAACATCAGTAAAATACTTCAATTTCAGGGATAATTTTCTTTTCAAGGAAGCAAGCAGAAATACCATGTAAGTAAATAGACATTTGCTACAACAAAATCAAGAAACATGTATTTTGATGATTTGTTCTTGTAAAAGCTGTCATGTTGATATTTACTATATCTGAGCTTGCATAATATACACTTGTTTACCCAACATATAGAGTTGGTATAGGGGATGCTTATTATACACACTGTAGCTGGTTTTTAATTTTCTCTGTATGTTTATTTCTTCTGAATATTCAAGATGTTTATTTTTAAAAAAAACAAACTTTTTCTATCAAGAAAGTTTTTTTCTTCATTATTGTACATGTATATTCAAATAGAGGTACCTGATAATTAATAACTTTATTTGATAAAATGAATATATATTTTTTACAGGTTAAAAAGTCTACAATTGCATTGTTTATGACTTTTAAATTAATGGATTAAACAAAAAGATTTAAAAAAAAAGATTTAAATGAACAAACAAACTTATATATTATTTTTATCTTTTAATAGACTTTAAAGACGATTAAGTACATGATTTAAAAGTTCCCTTTAAAAGGTTTTACAGTGAGCTTGACTTTTTTTAATGATTTTGGAGTGATGAAAAGGGGTGCGTATTATACACAAATGTGTACTATGCACAGTCCATTAGGGTAACTCTAAACATGTTGTGCAGGGCTTCCATCGAAACCCTGTGTCTCTCCTGCTATTGCTGCTGTCAAGGTAAAAGTGTAATGTTGACTGACAAAACATTAGTTCATTTATCAATGAAATACAACAATGTACAATAAAAATCAAATAAAATCGAGAAGTTTTCTTCCAGTGCTATTACTTGATTAAATCTTGAAGAAGCTTCTCTCAAATTTTTATAATATTCCACGAAGGTTTGACAAAGATATTGATGTCTAAAAAAATTTAAGCACAGACTGAACAAAAATGTGACATTGCCATCAAAGGAATTTAGCACTGCTATTTTTTCTTATCAGCTTATGCTGATCTACTATTAAGTATTACTTCTAATAGTTAAGACCTGTCTCCTTATTATTGAAAAGCAAGAGATTATTCATGTCTGCTTAATATTGATTCAATTTTCCAACTTCCAAGTAAAATCTTTTAATTTCTTCTGTAGAGCAGAATACCTTTTTTCTTTAAAATTACATATTACACTCATATTAATGTACACAAGAAAAGAATATTTTACCACTTTTTTAGTTCCATTCCACAACAGTTTAAATTCTCCTCTGATACAGCCAATCACAAAAGTCGTTATAAGTGTACAAGGCACAAGGTACAATAAAGCTGGTTGGCCAGTCTGCATCAACTCCAAGGCAATAAATGTTATGATCATGCCAATTCCATATGCTAAAATATATGCTTATATTTAAGGTGTATGTCAATAGAAGTAAAGTCTGCAAGTGATATAAAAAAAAAATGGTATGAATGCCAATGAGAAAACTCTCCACCAGAGACAAAATGACGTTAAAGTTAGCAACTAAAAATAAGTCTGTTTATTTCTAGTGGGGCAGGAACTGTTGACCCTTTCAGAGCACCACAGTTCACTTGACCTTATTTTTATCTCTAGATGTCTTTTAAGAATGGATTGTAAATTCAAAAATTAATGTGAGCATTTATTGCATATCTTTGACCACCAACAGAAAAAGGCAATCAAATTAATGTGATTGTTTTATTGGGCGTTATTGTCTTATTGACTTACATCCATAATCTTTTATTTTTGTGAAGTCAAGAAAAGGTACCAGAAGAAACTTTCCTGCATACCTAGAAGTTTATGTTTTATGTATTCTAATAAAAAATCAAAGCACTGTAAGCGCTGTAGGCAGTTAACAAAAAACCAAGGCAAACGTAATTATGAAAACTGTGGCAGTGTTGCTTCAATCTTTTTTTAAGATTTGAAAGAACAAGAACTTAACATTCGTATATATGTATATTGTACATTTATGTTCATTAAATAAATTGATTATTAAGGCAAATTAATTAATATTTCATCAAGGTTTTCAAAAGCAACTCATATATCAATGTAAATGACCCCCATCTTCACCCCCAAGTGCATGATGTTACTCCATACCAAGTTTGGAATAAAATGACAGGTGATAATAAAACAGTTGGTCAAACATTCTCGGGCTTTACACTGCTTGAAAGATTTAAATGTTTTCTTTAAAATGAGCCATAAATGAAAATTATTATAGGACCAGAAATAATTTAATAAATAATTAAAGTAAATTCAATTAACCTAGACTCATTTTTTGCATCCATTAAATTTTATAATAAACAATAAATAATTGTAACAGGATGCCGTTACGAAGTATCCCAAACAAAGCCCCCATAATTCGTCATTCCCATGGTCTCCTGACATTGGGCAAAGTCCAGTTCATATTGGTTTGGTCTGGTAAAGTGATATGCATATGTGACACCTAGGAGATTGACCCTGTATGTCATTCAAATCTTTTTGAAATGATGAACAGGAATAAATATGGTTTAGGTATGGGTTCTCGACCGTTTACAAGTTCTCAAACAGGAGGGGGTGGGGTGATCCCAGGGCCTATATTTCATTTGATTTGTTATATTGTCCCATACATGAATACATATGGTTTAGGGGTGGGGATCTCGACCATTTCCAAGTTTTCAAACAGGAGGGGGTGGGGTGACCCCAGGGACTCCCCAAATATTTCATTTGATTTGTTATATTGTCCCATACATGAATATATATGGTTAAGGGGTGGGGATCTTAACTGTTTACAAGTTCTCAAACAAGAGGGGTGGGGTGTCCCCATGGACTCCCCCTATATTTCATTTGATTTGTTTTATTGTCCCATACATGAATATATATGGTTTAGGGGTGGGGATCTCGACCATTTCCAAGTTCTAAAACAGGAGGGGGTGGGGTGACCCAAGGAACTCCCCATATATTTCATTTGATTTGTTATATTGTCCTATACATGAATATATATATGGTTTAGGGGTAGGGATCTTGACTGTTTACAAGTTCTCAAACAGGAGAGGGTGGGGTGTCCCCAGGGACTCCCCCTATATTTCATTTGATTTGTTTTATTGTCCCATACATGAATGTATATGGTTTAGGGGTGGGGATCTCAACCATTTCCAAGTTCTCAAACAGGAGGGGTTGTGGTGACCCCAGTGACTCCCCATATATTTCATTTGATTTGTTATATTGTCCAATACATGAATATATATGGTTTAGGGGTGGGGATCTCTACTGTTTACAAGTTCTCAAACAGGAGGGGGTGGGGTGACCCCAGGGACTCCCCCATATTTAATTTAATTTCTTTTATTGTCCCGTACAAGTATATATTTATTGTTTAGGGGTGGGGATCGCGACGGTTTACAAGATAAAAGTACCTTTTCAAATTGAAGGGGGTTGGGATGACCCCCAGGGACTCACCCTATATTTTGGTTGATTTCTTTTATTGTCCTGTTCTCATTACTGAAGACTGTATGTGTCTATCACTTACTGTTTTCGAGAAATAGTCATTTGAAAATTTAAAAAAATAAAATCCAATAGGGTTCTATAGTAAACCCCTCCCTTCTTCAGGCCCCTCCAAATACCCCTAAATAGACCCCAATGCACAACAAAAGATTAATGGCCCCACTAGACATGTTAGTCTAATATTTTATGAAACCCAAAGTAAGTCTGACAAATGGTCAAAGTTGTCTTCTTAGACGTTTGAGTGGATTCGGTCCGACTTGTCTCGGGGACGAGTTGTCCACATTACTTAAAACATCCCATCAATGTCGATTTCCGCATCTGTTTCATGACCTCGTTTCATTCATAAAATAACAACAACCTTATTTGGCAAGATAAGTTAAAAATTACCACCCACTTATATAACTTTATTTCCTCTATCACAGAGATTTGTTGTACATGAACAATATTTCTGCGCATTTTGCCATTTGGGAAATATAAACGACTTGTAATTACCAATTTTCGGCGTTGAAATATCTCATACAATTGTTCTTTGACATCGTAGCCAAAAGCACAGGGGATAATAAACTACATACGGATTTCTATTGAGCACTACTTCCTATGTGAAACTTCAAAAGTTTTGGGTAGTTCGACGATCATTTAAGTTTTTTCTGGTCATATTTTTTGTATTCCAGAAATAAAAGTATTAAAAAAATGTCCAATTAGTTATACATAACATAATAGCCAGCTTGATAATAACAATGGCATGTATTTCAGCATTTATTGGGTAGAACACAAATCTAGGGTGCTCGCATAAGGCAGCTTAACTGCCTAAAAAATTGGTTGTATACATTATAAATAGCCTCCAAGGTTCATGGACATTGAATTTAACAATGGATAACACATGAAAATAGGAAGGACTCTGGCAACCTTGTAAACCTGGTTCACTGAAATTTATCTCTAAAATTATCTTTTCCAAAGAGTCAAGGAACAATTAATGGGATGGTATAGTTGGACAGGTCTTTTATATACCCCACCACCCATAATTTTCACTTTCATTATATAACTGAATTGTATAATTTTGCTCCCATCCCTATCACCACAAAAAAATATCATGTGGTGTCCACTCCTCCCATACCTTTTCCCTGGAAATAGCCCTTATTAGCAAAACAATTTGTAACATAAAAAAACAACCTCAAACTGTCCTATCAAAGGCAGTTAGAATAGTAAAATATCTTGACACATTTCAAAAAGTTTGGATATCCAACTGTTAAATGTGCTAGCAATTTACAATCTATGGTTCTTGCCATCCATCCAACAACATTATACTTTAATAAAATGCTCCGCAGGGCGCAGCTTGATACGACCGCAGAGGTCGAACCATGAACAGTTGGGGCAAGTATGGACACAACATTCAAGCTTGATACAGCTCTGAATTTGGATTGTGATTAAATATTTGACACAGCATAGGTTTCTGACACAGAATGAATGTGGTCTAAGAACTTAAAAATTTTAAATTGGACATTCACCTATTATGGTCCAATATCCAAAATCTAAATACATGGTTAGATTCAGCATATCAAAGAACCCAAAGAATTCAATTTTTGATGAAATCAAACAAAGTTTAATTTTGGACCCTTTTGACCTCAATGTGGACAAAGTTGATAACGGGGCCCAAAAATCAAAAATCTAAATACATGGTTAGATTCAGCATATCAAAGAACCCCATATATTCAATTTTTGTTGAAATCAAACAAAGTTTAATTTTGGACCCCGATTTGGACCAACTTGAAAACTGGGCCCATAATCAAAAATCTAAATACATGTTTAGATTCAGCATATCAAAGAACCCTAAAAATTCAATTTTTGTTAAAATCAAACTAAGTTTAATTTTGGACCCTTTGGACCTTAATGTAGACCAATTTGAAAACGGAACCAAAAATTAAGAATCTAAATACATGGTTAGATTCGGCATATCAAAGAACCCCAATAATTCAATTTTTGATGAAATCAAACAAAGTTAAATTTTGGACCCTTTGGACCTCAATGTGGACCAATTTAAAAACGGGGCCCAAAATCCAAAAAACTTAATACACGGTTAGATTCAGCATATTAAAGAACCCCAAGAATTCAAGAATAAAACCCCATTGAAATTGATCAAGAAATAAGCAATTTATAGGAAGTATCTTCTTTTGCACAATACTGTGCAATTGAATATTTCTTGCTATTGAGCAATACTGTACAATTGACAATTTCTTGCTATTGCGCAATATTGTGCTATTGGATATTTCTTGCTATTGCGCAATACTGTGCAATTGAAGATTTCTTGCTATTGCGCAATACTGTGCAATTGAAGATTTCTTGCTATTGTGCAATACTGTGCAATTGAAAATTTCTTGCTATTGCACAATACTTATTATATAATAATTTACACATCCTGTTTGGTGTGTATCTCCTACCATATCATTATTACTTGCTTTTAAATATAAATCAGAAATAACCAACTTAAAATGGAAAATTTTAAAAGAAAAAAAAAAGGAAAAATAGAAAAAAAAAGAAAAAAAAAAATCCCCCCCCCCAAATTTTTTGAACCCCCTTATGATTCATCACCCCCAAACTCAATCCCAGCCTTCCCTTTGTGGTATGGTACCTTGCAGTACAATTTCAGAGAGATCCATACACTTGAACACAAGTTATTGTCTGGAAACTAGAAAAATGTGATTTTTGGCCCCTTTTTGGCCCCCAATTCCTAAACGTTTCGGCAATTACCCCCAAACTCAATTCCAGCTTTCCCTTTGTGATATGGAACCTTGTAGTACAATTTCAGAAACATCAAAACACTTACACACAAGTTATTGTCATGAAACTAGAAAAATGCTTGTTTTTTGCCCCTTTTTTGGCCCCTTATTCCTAAAATTTTGAGGCAATTACCCCCAAAATCAATTACAGCCTTCCCTTTGTGATATGGAACCTTGTGGTACAATGTCAGAGAGATCCATACACTTACACACAAGTTATTGTCTGGAAGTTACAAAAATGCTTATTTTTGGCCCCTTTTTGGCCCCTAATTCCTTAACTGTTGGTACCATAACCCCCAAAATCAATCCCAACCTTCCTTTCGTGGTATTGAACCTTATGGTAAAATTTCATGGAGATCCATTCACTTAAACTAAAGTTAGAGTGCGAAAACCAATGTGTCTTCGGACGACGCCGGGCGACGACGACGACGCCAACGTCCTACCAATATACGACCAAAAAATTTTTAATTTTTGCGGTCGTATAAAAATCTAAATACATGTTTAGATTCAGCATATCAAAGAACCCTAAGAATTCAATTTTTTTTAAAATCAAACTAAGTTTAATTTTGGACCCTTTGGACCTTAATGTAGACCAATTTGAAAATGGAACCAAAAATTAAGAATCTAAAAACACGGTTAGATTCGGCATATCAAAGAACCCCAATAATTCAATTTTTGATGAAATCAAACAAAGTTTAATTTTGGACCCTTTGGACCTCAATGTGGACCAATTTAAAAACGGGGCCCAAAATCCAAAAACTAAATACACGGTTAGATTCAGCATATTTAAGAACCCCAAGAATTCAAGAATAAAACCCCATTGAAATTGGTCAAGAAATAAGCAATTTATACGAAGTATCTTCTTTTGCACAATACTGTGCAATTAAATATTTCTTGCTATTGCGCAATACTGTACAATTGACAATTTCTTGCTATTGCGCAATATTGTGCTATTGGATATTTCTTGCTATTGCGCAATACTGTGCAATTGAAGATTTCTTGCTATTGCGCAATACTGTGCAATTAAAGATTTCTTGCTATTGTGCAATACTGTGCAATTGAAAATTTCTTGCTATTGCACAATACTTATTATATAATAATTTACATATCCTGTTTGGTGTGTATCTCCTACCATATCATTATTATTTGCTTTTAAAAATAAATCAGAAATAACCGACTTAAAATGGAAAATTTTAAAAGAAAAAAAAAAGGAAAAAAAAAAAAATCCCCCCCCAAATTTTTTGAACCCCCTTATGATTCATCACCCCCAAACTCAATCCCAGCCTTCCCTTTGTGGAATGGTACCTTGCAGTACAATTTCAGAGAGATCCATACACTTGAACACAAGTTATTGTCTGGAAACTATAAAAATGTGTTTTTTGGCCCCTTTTTGGCCCCAAATTCCTAAACATTTAGGGCAATTACCCCCAAACTCAAACCCAGCTTTCCCTTTGTGATATGGAACCTTGTAGTACAATTTCAGAAAGATCCATACACTTACACACAAGTTATTGTCCTGAAACTAGAAAAATGCTTGTTTTTTGCCCCTTTTTGGCCCCTAATTCCTAAAATATTGAGGCAATTACCCCCATCATTAATCCCAGCCTTCCCTTTGTGGTATGGTACCTTGCAGTACAATTTCAGAGAGATTCATACACTTGAACACAAGTTATTGTCTGGAAACTAGAAAAAATGCTTATTTTTGGCCCCTTTTTGGCCCCCAATTCCTCAACGTGTCGGCAATTACCCCCAAACTCAAACCCAGCTTTCCCTTTGTGATATGGAACCTTGTAGTACAATTTCAGAAAGATCCATACACTTACACACAAGTTATTGTCATGAAACTAGAAAAATGCTTTTTTTGCCCCTTTTTTGGCCCCTAATTCCTAAAATTTTGAGGCAATTACCCCCAAAATCAATCCCAGCATTCCTTTTGTGATATGGAACCTTGTGGTACAATGTCAGAGAGATCCATACACTAACACACAAGTTATGTCTGGAAGTTACAAAAATGCTTATTTTTGGCCCCTTTTTGGCCCCTAATTCCTTTACTGTTGGTACCATAACCCCCAAAATCAATCCCAACCTTCCTTTTGTGGTATTGAACCTTGTGGTAAAATTTCATAGAGATCCATTCACTTAAACTAAAGTTAGAGTGCGAAAACCAATGTGTCTTCGGACGACGCCGGACGACGCCAGACGACGACGACGATGACGCCAACGTCATACCAATATACGACCACAAAAATTTTTTTGCGGTCGTATAAAAATGAATATTTCTATGGGTTTTTTCATGATTGGAATAATAAATTTTTTGCATCATCAATAATTTTACTCTGCACTTTATCATAGTTGCTTTCTACAAACTAATCGAGAGATGATTTTGCACATTTTGTTTGATCAAGAAATCAGTGAAAATAACCCCTGTGCCAAATTTTCCATGTTTCAGATAAGATATAAGCATACAACTTACCTATTACTGTAGCTATGTAGTATATTTTTTTACTATTGACTTTTAAATCTATTCCATGATTATAGCCAACCAATAAACCTGCAATATATCAACAAAGATTTGGTAGATAAATATAGCAGTACTAAACACTATAGCTAAATGTATTACACAATAAATACACATTTAGCTATTCAATTCTCTATACATACATGTATACATTGGGACCTTACAATTTGAACTAATGATTAGCTAGAGGCTCTAAAGAGCCTGTGTTGCTCACTATGGTCTATCTTCAACAATGGACACTCGCCAACACTGTAGACTAGAATAAAATTCATGACAAAAATCTCTTTTTTGTTGATCTTATTTCGCTGATCATTTTTCTGCGTACAGTTTCTCTCTATCTTCTCTACTTTTTGCCCAAAACACAAAAAAGGGTAAAAATAAATCATTTAAGGGCACACACTCCTGTAAAGAGTCTTATAACGAGTTGCCTGGTTTGTAGATCTTGTCTTGCTGATCATTTTTGCTATTTAAAGAGTCTATCTATCTATTATAGTTTTCAAGATAATAGACAATAACCATGATAACACTAAACATTGGTAAAACTCTTCATTAAAGAGCAATAACTCAAATAAAGAGTCGACTGATGATTTCAGCCATTGAAACTATTTGGAAATAATGTCTTACTGATCATTTTGGCCTTTTAAAATTTCTAATTATCTATTATAGTTTTTCAGATATTAGACAAAAATGCAAAAATGGCAAAAAAGTCATCATTAAAGAGCAATAACTCTAACAAGGAGTCCTCTGAAGATTTCTGCCAGTTGACTAACTTGTAGATCTTGCCTTGCTGAACAATCTTGCTGTTTAAAGTTTCTCTCTACCTATTATAGTAAGGTAATAGGCAAAAAAGGTAAAATTCATCATATAAGGGCAATAACTCCTAAAAGAAGTCATTTGACAGTTTGTATGTCAATAGACAGTAAGTAGAGCTTTACATTCTGTACATTTCTGCCCAGTCAGATCTTCTCTATTTAAAGCTGTTTTTTTTTCAAATAATAGACAAACCTTACATTTTCCCCCTATGTTCTATTTTTAGCCCCGTTGGTTGACATCTGACACATTTCTTACTCTAGATGACCCAAAGATGACTGTGGCCAATTTTGGTTTAAGTAGTTTCAGAGCAGAACATTTTCGTAAAATTTGACGGACAACAACAACTTTTGACTTTGACCTAGTTATCTCAAAAACTTTAGCAGTCATCTTCACCAAAATGGGCATCATCCTGTTAAGTAAAATGAAGACATAATGTATGACTCAAAAGATTGCTTAGAAACCTAAATGTGGATGTAAGGATGTCCAGGCAGTAGCCATCATATTGTATCCCCAGTTCAACTATGTCACAGGTAAGGATGCCCAGACAGTAACCATCAAATTGCATGCCCAGTTTGACTATGTCACAGGTAAGGATGCCCAGACAGTAACCATCATATTGTATGCCCAGTTCAACTATGTCACAGTTAAGGAGGCCCAGACAGTAACCATCATATTGTATGCCCAGTTCAACTATGTCTCAGGTAAGGATGCCCAGACAGTAACCATCATATTGTATGCCCAGTTTGACTATGTCACAGGTAAGGATGCCCAGACAGTAACCATCATATTGTATGCCCAGTTTGACTATGTCACAGGTAAGGATGCCCAGACAGTAACCATCATATTGTATGGCCAGTTCAACTATGTCACATGTAAGGATGCCCAGACAGTAACCATCATATTATATGCCCAGTTTGACTATGTCACAGGTAAGGATGCCCAGACAGTAACCATCATATTGTATGCCCAGTTTGACTATGTCACATGTAAGGATGCCCAGACAGTAACCATCTTATTGTATCCCCTATTTGACTATATCACATGTAGGATGCCCTGACAGTAGCCATCATATTGTATGCCCAGTTTGACTATGTCACATGTAAGGCTGTCCAGACAGTAACTATCTTATTGTATCCATAGTTTGACTATGTCACAGGTAAAGATGCCCAGACAGTAGCAATCATATTGTATGCCCAGTTTGACTATGTCACATGTTAGGATGTCCAGACAGTAACCATCATATTGTATGGCCTGTTTGACTATGTCATAGGTAAGGATGCCCAGACAGTAACCATCATATTGTATGCCCTGTTTAACTATGTCACAGGTAAGGATGTGCAGACAGTAGCCATCATATTGTATGCCCTGTTTGTCTATGTCACAAGTAAGGATGCCCAGACAGTAACCATCATATTGTAAGACCAGTTTGACTATGTCACATGTAAGGATGCCCAGACAGTAGCCATCATATTGTAAGCCCAGTTTGACTATGTCACAGGTAAGTATGCCCAGACAGTAACCATCATATTGTAAGCCCAGTTTGACTATGTCACATGAAAGGATGCCCAGACAGTAGCCATCATATTGTATGCCCAGTTTGACTTTGTCACATGTAGGATTCCCAGACATTAGCCATCATATTGTATGCCCAGTTTGACTATGTAACATGTAAGGATGCCCAGACAGTTATCATCTTATTGTATCCCAAGTTTGACTATGTCACAGGTAAAGGATGCCCAGACAGTAGCCATCATATTGCATGCCCTGTTTGACTATGTCACATGTAAGGATGCCTAGCCAGTAGCCATCATATTGTAAGCCAAGTTTGACTATGTCACATGTAAGGATGCCCAGACAGTTACCACAGTAGCAATCATATTTTATGCCCAGTTTGACTATGTCACAGGTAAGGATGTGCAGACAGTAGCCATCATATTGTATGCCCTGTTTGTCTATGTCACAGGTAAGGATGCCCAGACAGTAACCATCATATTGTAAGCCAAGTTTGACTATGTCACATGTAAGAATGCCCCTTACAGTAGCCATCATATTATAAGCCCAGTTTGACTATGTCACAGGTAAGGATGCCCAGACAGTAACCATCATATTGTAAGCCCAGTTTGACTATGTCACATAAAAGGATGCCCAGACAGTAGCCATCATATTGTATGCCCAGTTTGACTATGTCACATGTAGGATGCCCAGACAGTAGCCATCATATTGTATGCCCTATTTTCTATGTCACAGATAAGGATGCCTAGACAGTAACCATCATATTGTAAGCCCAGTTTGACTATGTCACAGGTAAGGATGCCCAGACAGTAACCATCATATAGTTAGCCCAGTGTGACTATGTCACATGAAAGGATGCCCAGACAGTAGCCATCATATTGTATGCCCAGTTTGACTATGTCACAGGTAAGGATGCCCAGACAGTAACCATCATATTGTATGGCCAGTTCAACTATGTCACATGTAAGGATGCCCAGACAGTAACCATCATATTATATGCCCAGTTTGACTATGTCACAGGTAAGGATGCCCAGACAGTAACCATCATATTGTATGCCCAGTTTGACTATGTCACATGTAAGGATGCCCAGACAGTAACTATCTTATTGTATCCATAGTTTGACTATGTCACAGGTAAAGATGCCCAGACAGTAGCAATCATATTGTATGCCCAGTTTGACTATGTCACATGTTAGGATGCCAAGACAGTAACCATCATATTGTATGGCCTGTTTGACTATGTCATAGGTAAGGATGCCCAGACAGTAACCATCATATTGTATGCCCTGTTTAACTATGTCACAGGTAAGGATGTGCAGACAGTAGCCATCATATTGTATGCCCTGTTTGTCTATGTCACAAGTAAGGATGCCCAGACAGTAACCATCATATTGTAAGACCAGTTTGACTATGTCACATGTAAGGATGCCCAGACAGTAGCCATCATATTGTAAGCCCAGTTTGACTATGTCACAAGTGAGTATGCCCAGACAGTAACCATCATATTGTAAGCCCAGTTTGACTATGTCACATGAAAGGATGCCCAGACAGTAGCCATCATATTGTATGCCAAGTTTGACTTTGTCACATGTAGGATGCTCAGACATTAGCCATCATATTGTATGCCCAGTTTGACTATGTAACATGTAAGGATGCCCAGACAGTTATCATCTTATTGTATCCCAAGTTTGACTATGTCACAGGTAAAGGATGCCCAGACAGTAGCAATCATATTGCATGCCCAGTTTGACTATGTCACAGGTAAATATGCCCAGACAGTAGCCATCATATTGTAAGCCAAGTTTGACTATGTCACGTTAGGATGCCCAGACAGTTACCACAGTAGCAATCATATTGTATGCCCAGTTTGACTATGTCACATGTTAGAATGCCCAGACAGTAACCATCATATTGTATGGCCTGTTTGACTATGTCATAGGTAAGGTACACAGACAGTAACCATCATATTGTATGCCCTGTTTAACTATGTCACAGGTAAGGATGTGCAGACAGTAGCCATCATATTGTATGCCCTGTTTGTCTATGTCACAGGTAAGGATGCCCAGACAGTAACCATCATATTGTAAGCCAAGTTTGACTATGTCACATGTAAGGATGCCCAGACAGTAGCCAACATATTGTAAGCCCAGTTTGACTATGTCACAGGTAGTGATGCCCAGACAGTAACCATCATATTGTAAGCCAAGTTTGACTATGTCATATGTAAGGATGCCCAGACAGTAGCCAACATATTGTAAGCCCAGTTTGACTATGTCACAGGTAGTGATGCCCAGACAGTAACCATCATATTGTAAGCCCAGTTTGACTATGTCACATAAAAGGATGCCCAGACGGTAGCCATCATATTGTATGCCCAGTTTGACTATGTCACATGTAAGATGCCCAGACAGTAGCCATCATATTGTATGCCCTATTTGTCTATGTCACAGGTAAGGATGCCCAGACAGTAACCTTCATATTGTAAGCCCAGTGTGACTATGTCACATGAAAGGATGCCCAGACGGTAGCCATCATATTGTATGCCCAGTTTGACTATGTCACAGGTAAAGATGCCCAGACAGTAGCCATCATATTGTATGCCCTGTTTGACTATGTCACATGTAAGGATGCCCAGACAGTAGCCATCATATTGTAAGCCTAGTTTGACTATGTCAGATGTAAGGATGCCCAGACAGTAGCCATCATATTGTATGCCCAGTTTGACTATGTCACAGGTAAAGATACCCAGACAGTAACCATCACATTGTATGCCCTGGTTGACTATGTCACAGGTAAGGATACCCAGACAGTAGCCATCATATTGTAAGCCCAGTTTGACTATGTCACATGTAGGATGCCCAGACAGTAGCCATCATATTGTATGCCCAGTTTGACCATGTCACATGTAAGGATGCCCAGACATTAGCCATCATATGGTATGCCCAGTTTGACTATGTCACATGTAGGATGCCCAGACAGTAGCCATCAAATTGTATGCCCAGTTTGACTATGTCACATGTAAGGATGCCCAGACAGTATCAACCTTATTATATCCCAAGTTTGACTATGTCACAAGTAAAGATGCTCAGACAGTAGCAATCATATTGTATGCCCAGTTTGACTATGTCACATGTTAGGATACCTAGACAGTAACCATCATATTGTATGCCCAGTTTGATTATGTCACAGGTAAGGATGCCCAGACAGTAACCATCATATTGTATGCCCTGTTTGACTATGTCACAGGTAAGGATGCCCAGACAGTAGCCATCATATTGTATGCTCTGTTTGACTATGTCACAGGTAAGGATGCCCAGACAGTAGCCATCATATTGTAAGCCCAGTTTGACTATGTCACATGTAAGGATGCCTAGACAGTAGCCATCATATTGTATGCCCAGTTTGACTATGTCACAGGTAAGGATGCCCAGACAGTAGCCATCATATTGTATGCCCTGTTTGACTATGTCACAGGTAAGGATGCCCAGACAGTAACCATCATATTGTATCCCAAATTTGACTATGTCACAGCTAGGGATACTCAGACAGTAACCATCATAGTGTATGCCCAGTTTAACTATGTCACATGTTAGGATGCCCAAACAGTAGCCATCATTTGATTATGTCATGTGTAATGATGCCAGACAGTAACAATCATATTGGATGCCCTGTTTGACTATGTCACATGTTGGCTAAAAAATCATTGATGATACTGTAAGAGCAAATAAACTATAAATAGTCTATCATCATCAACACATACAAACTATAAATAGTCTATCATTATCAACACATACAAACTATAAATAGTCTATCATCATCAACACGTACAAACTATAAATAGTCTATCATTATCAACACATACAAACTATAAATAGTCTATCATCATCAACACATACAAACTATAAATAGTCTATCATCATCAACACATACAAACTATAAATAGTCTATCATCATCAACACATACAAACTATAAATAGTCTATCATCATCAACACATACAAACTTATTATAAAATGGACTGAATCAGAAAATGGTTCTTTTTATGCAGATGAGGCAAATGTGAGCCAAAGTTGTTAAAATTAATATTGGTATTTGTTCAGATAATAACTACATTTGATAACTTTAAATTCAGAAATAATTGCGAGGTTTTAATTAATGTGAATAATGCAACCGGGTGAGCATCGCAATGATAAGAACTCGTATTCTGATATCTGATCCATATATATATTTCTGAAATTGCAATAATTAATCTCGCATTTTTGGCCATTCTTCAAAGAACAATAATTTCTGAATTTACAGTACTAATTTTTCCTACCTGGAACTATAACATCTCCGAATCCCAGCATGGAAGGCTGATTCAAACAGGAACTGTATGGAGAATAATTCAACTTTGGTACTACAAACACCATAGGTAGCTGGAAAAAAATATCAATAAAAGTCACTGGATATTGATCTTAATTTTGTATGTACAATGTACATGATTTATTTATTATCAGTTTTTTTGCATGCTGACTTGTGTAAAATTTCATCTGCCAATCACAATAGAGATATTTGGTGAGTGACTGCAGGGAACAATACCAAAAAGCTTCATATTGTGCCATAGAGCTGATATGTTACAATATAATATATATACCCTTGTTATGCATGCTAATTAAAAGATGACCTTATAAGTTTTGGTAGGACATAATGACATCACTGATAAGCTTAATTCTGGTTCTAAATTGTTCAGCCAGGTCAAACTTGATTGATGTCACAAAACCTTAATATGGGATTTTGGGAAGAACTGAGCGAGGTGATACATCACGAGTAAGACTGGTAATAATATTTAGTAAAACCATGTTGACTCTGTAGACATAAGAAATAATATCAGAGTTCTGTGGATTTCTTCTTACTTGTCAGGACTATTTTTTGAGGATTTCATGATTAAAGGTGACCCAGAGATTTAAGTGTTTCACATACATGTAATACAAAGGAGTAAGGGCATTAAGGCCATGTTTTGGCCCAAGAAAATAAAAGTTTTGTGAACTATTTCAAATTTGCACATAATGTTTGGAAATACATAAGATTTAGAAATATGTATAATGTACATAAAATTTCCTTGTCATGACATCACAATTATGTCATAATATGCATCATTTTCATGAAGATGAAGAAAACTATATAATTTATGCAGTTTTCCATCGTAATTTCCAATGTGGAAACATTGTGTGCATCCATTATAACTAATCACATAATCTCGCCAAATATAAGGTTGTTTCTTGGGTGCACACATACTTTTCCAATCTTAATTTATACTACAAAGTTGATATAAAACAAGAAAAATCAAGAAATGTAACAAAATATACAAATTTTGTCATTGTTTGTTGCCATGGTTACTTGTTAAAAGTGAAATTTGCTTTTATTTTCAGAACACCTTGTACCTTTGTGTAGTTATGACAAATTTAAGAATATGTATAGTTCCTTTTCAATTTACCATTATATTTAGGTCAAATTAGGGCCTTACTGCCCCTTCACCTTTCCTTTAGAACTTGTCAAAACCCTGATATCTTAAACAAGAAAATCTTGTCAAAACCCTGATATCTTAAACAAGAAGAACTTGTCTAAACCATGTTATCTTTAACAAGAAGAACTTGTCGAAATCATGATATTTCAAACAAGAAGAACTTGTCAAAATTATGATATCTTAAACAAGAAGAACATGTCAAAATCCTGATACCTTAAACAAGAACTTGTCAAAACCCTGATATCTTAAATAAGAACTTGTCAAATCCCTGATATCTTAAAAAAGAACTTGTCGAAATCATGATATCTTAAAGAAGAAAAAGTTGGCAAAACCATGATATCTTAAACAAGAAAAAGTTGACAAAACCATGATATCTTAAACAAGAAGAACTTGTCGAAACCATGATATCTTAGACAAGAAGAACTTGTCAAAACCATGAAATTTCAAACAAGAAATGCTATCGGAAATCAAAACATGAAAATTAAATGAATAGCTTGAACCCCTACTTCTAATGCAGGGATTGCATAATTTTTGGTGTACATAATCATAAAACTGTAGGTTTGCAACAGTACTATTTTAATAGATTTATAATAAGAACTGTTCCATATAAAACATATATGCCACTTCCAAATATCAATTATGGGTTGGTGTCAACTATAGATGTTTTTGTAAAGTTAAAACATAATTGTATTGTTATAAAATAGGCCATTAGTTAGTAATATCTTGTTTGAATTGTTTTACATTTGTCATTTTGGGGCCTTTTATAGCTTGTTATAAAGTATAGGTTTTGCTCATTGTTGAAGGCTGTACAGTGACCTATAGTTGCTAACCTTGTACGTCATTTGGTCTCTGGTTGAGAGTTGTCTCCGGTGGAGAGTTGTCTCTGCAAGATTTGTTTTTCTTCCAGTTTCTAAAGCTTGTACAAATACATTTTATATTTTCAGATAATGCACATATATTGTATATATGTATCTTATATAAACATATTTTTTTACCTTCTCTTTGGATTTTGAAGCTCCCCCAGTGGCAACTTTAACCATTATACTTTCACCATTCTGTTTAAAATTAACATAAATTCAATATACATAAAATTAACATAAATTCAATTAACATGTGATTTATACAGTCAAGAAGTAATATGACATATCTGTCATCAGATGAACAAAATCTATTTGGTATTCACAATTTATTCATATTAGTTGTATGCCATAACTTTAAGTACCAATGATTCATTAAGCCATAACTTTAAGTACAAATGATTCGATAAGCCATAACTTTAAGTATAAATGCTCCGATAAGCCATAACTTTAAGTACAAATGATTCGATAAGCCATAACTTTTAGTACAAATGATTCAATAAGCCATAACTTTAAGTACAAATGATTCGACAAGCCATAACTTTAAGTACGAATGATTCAATAAGCCATAACTTTAAGTACAAATGATTGGACAAGCCATAACTTTAAGTACAAATGATTAGATGAGCCAGATTTGACTTATTTGACAATATTGAACAAAAACTGAAAAACAAAAACAAAAAAGGTCATTAGACATTCATTTCTTTATTTGATACATTGCTTAATGTTTCATCACTGTCAAAAATTTGAAAGATAGTAATATGATTTAAAACAATCTGGGCTGTGCATGATTATCATTTATTTATTTATAAAGACTCTCTCTGAATTTGATTTGAATAGTTTGAATAAATATTTGATTTAAAGTACTTTTTTGTATAATTATTGTTATTCTGTTTGTGTGAAACCCTCCTTAATTTGAAGATAACTGTATATTTATTAAAGGGAGATATTTCAAAATATTTTACAAATCAAAGGGAGATAACAAAAATCTTTTATTCTGTTTACATGTCATGAATCTCTCTACTAAATACTAGTATATCAATTTAATTCATTGTCTTTAGAATACAACTATTTTTCATATTGTAAATAATAAAAATGCCATACTGTAAATGAAATTTTGTTGTACAAAAATGACTTTACAGGTATCTATGCCAAAGTGTCATCTTATTGTTGGATGTGTGTATGATTGTATAAACTATGATAGTGTATTTGTTTTTATGTTAGAATTTATCTGCTCAAGTTTGAAATGTTGTTTTGTTTTATATGATAATGGATAATATTGTAACAGTGTTGTCTATGAATGTAAGGGGTCTTTTTCCTAATTCAAAAAAGAGAACAGATGTTTTTGATTGGGCAAAGGGCAAACATGCATCAGTTATTTGCTTTCAAGAAACCCATAGTAATAAAGATATTGAAAAAAAATGGGAAGAGGAATGGAGAAATACATGTTTCTTCAGTCATCATAGTAACAAAAGTGCAGGTGTCAGTATTATCTTTAAAAAAAGGTCTAGATTTTGAAGTGCATAATTCTATTATTGATATAGATGGTCGTTATATTATTTTAGATTTATCTTTGTTAAGTCAACGTATTACTTTCGTTTGTTTGTATGGATTTAATACTGATGAACCTTCATTTTTTAATTACATATATAAGAAAATGGCAACATTTTCAAATACTAGCTTTTTATTATGTTGGGACTGGAATGTTGTACAAGATATAAACATAGACACTTACAATATTATTCATAATAGAAACCTGAATTCACGAAAAAAGATTGAAGAAATAGTAGAAAGTCTTGAGTTATTGGATCCTTGGCGGACCTGTTATCCAAATGAAAGAAACTCTCATGGCTTCAATGCTTACCCATAAAACAAAGTCGGCTTGATTTTTTTCTAGTCACAGAGGATCTGTTTTCACTCATGAAAAATACTAACATTATTCCTGGGTATAAGACAGATCATTCTGCTATAATTTTCACCTTTTCTGCCAGTTTAGCAAAGCGGGGAAAGGGATATTGGAAATTTAACTCCAAACTGTTACGAGATTTAGACTATATCAAAAAAGTTAAAACATGTATAAATGAGAGTATTTTAGAATATTATGAATCAGGCAACATAGATGAACAGTTAAATGTTAAACTCTCATGCAATGATCAAGTATTTTTTGAGGTGTTAACTAGAGGCTCTCAAGAGCCTGTGTCGCTCACCTGATTCTACTTTGGTTTTGGAAATCATGTAAAAATAGATTAAAATCATAACAGATACCCTAATAATGAGTGAGGCCAAATTTGCTTAAATATTGGTCCTGTAATTTAATAAAAAATCCTGATGGCCATCTTGAACAGTAAATCGGCAACAAAGTAGCAACACTTAATCAGCACCTCATAAGAAACATTTATGCAATGTTTTGGTTTCTTTCCATTCAGTGCACCACTAGAAGAAGCATTTGTATGTATTTCCCATAGAGTCTTATGTTAAAGGAAGTCCCCCCATTGGCGGCCATCATGGATGAAGGATCAGCTTCAAAGTAACAAAACTTAGTCAGCACCTCATAAGGAACATTCATACCATGTTTGGTTTCAATCCATTCAGTATGTGGTTCTCTAAAAGAAGACATTTGTATGTATTGTCCATAGGGTCCTTTGTTAAACATTGTCCCCATCTGGCAGCCATCATGGATGAAGGATCAGCTTCAAAGTAACAACACTTGGTCAGCACCTCAAAAGGAACATGCATGCCATGTTTGGTTTCATTCCATTCAATGGTTCTCTAAAAGAAAACATTTGTACATATTTCTCATAGGGTCCTATGTTAAACTAAGTCCTCCGCTGGCGGCCATCTTAGATTATGGATCGGCTTCATAGTAACAACACTTGGTCAGCACCTCATAGGGAACATTCATGCCATGTTTGGTTTCATTGCATTCAGTGGTTCTCTAAAAGAAGACATTTGTATGTATTTCCCATAGGGTCCAATGTTAAACTAAGTCCCCCGCTGGCTGCAATCTTGGATGATGGATCAGCTTCAAAGTAACAACACTTGGTCAGCACCTCATAAGGAACATTCTTGCCATGTTTGGTTTCATTCCATTCAGTGGTTCTCTAAAAGAAGACGTTTGTATGTATTTCCCATAGGGTCCCATGTTAAACTAAGTGCCCCGCTGGAGGCCATCTTGGATTATGGATCGGCTTCAAAGTAACAACACTCGGTCAGCACCTCATAAGAAACATTCATGCTATGTTTGGTTTCATTCCATTCAGGGGTTCTCTAAAAGAAGACATTTGTATGTATTTCTCATAGGGTCCCATGTTAAACTAAGTCCCCTGCAGGCGGCCATATTGGATTATCGATCGGCTTCAAAGTAACAACACTTGGTCAGCACCTCATAAGAAACATTCATGCCATGTTTGGTTTCATTCCATTCAGTGGTTCTCTAAAAGAAGACATTTGTATGTATTTCCCATAGGGTCCAATGTTAAACTAAGTCCCCTGCTGGCGGCCATCTTGGATTATGGATCAGCTTCATAGTAACAACACTTGGTCAGTACCTCATTAGGAACATTCATGCCATGTTTGGTTTCATTCCATTCAGTGGTTCTCTAAAAGAAGACATTTGTATGTATTTCCCATAGGGTCCCATGTTAAACTAAGTCCCCCGCTGGCGGCCATCTTGGATTATGGATCAGCTTCAAAGTAACAACACTCAGTCAGCACCTCATAAGGAACATTCATACCATGTTTGGTTTCATTCCATTCAGTGGTTCTCTAAAAGAAGACATTTGTATGTATTTCCCATAGGGTCCTATGTTAAACTAAGTCCCCCGCTGGCGGCCATCTTGGATTATGGATCGGCTTCAAAGTAACAACACTTGGTCAGCACCTCATAAGAAACATTCATGCCATGTTTGGTTTTATTCCATTCAGTGGTTCTCTAAAAGAAGACTTTTGTATGTATTTCCCATAGGGTCCTATGTTAAACTAAGTCCCCCGCTGGCGGCCATCTTGGATGATGGATCCGCAACAAAGTAACAACACTTGGTCAGCACCTCATAAGGAACATTCATGCCATGTTTGGTTTCATTCCATTCAGTGGTTCTCTAGAAGAAGTTCAAAATGTAAAAAGTTAACGCCGACGTCGGACGACGGTGGACGCCAGACGACGGACACAAGTGATGAGAAAAGCTAACTTGGCCCTTCGGGCCAGGTGAGCTAAAAATGAACATTAGATCTTTGTCTATTGGTTATAGTATTCAAAAAGCGAGAGAGGAAAAAGCTGCAACACTTTTACTTGAAAATCACATTCAAAATTTGGAAAATCGTATGAACATTTCCTGGTGGTCAATTTCATGCAGCTTTAAACCAGAAAAAGTTAGAATTAGAAAACATAAGGGAAAGAAAAATTGAAGGTGTTTTTTTAAGATCCCACGCTAACTGGCAAGAGAACGGGGAAAAGTGTTCAGAGTTCTTTTGTAAATTGGAAAAGAAAAATTTTATTAAAAAAACAATAACTGAGCTCATAGACATAAAAGGGAAACATATATCAGATCAATCTAGAGTTTTACAAGAAGAAATGAATTTTTTTAAAACATTATACTCAAGTAAAAATCTGGAATGTGATGATGAATCCTTTTTCTAGCACAATGTTAAACTCACAGAAGAACAGAAGGATTTGTGTGAGGGTAATATTTCTTTTAAAGAATGTGCAAAATCACTAAAATCTATGTCAAATGGAAAGAGTCCAGGCTCAGATGGGTATACTGTAGAATTTTACAAAGTCTTTTGGAGAGATATTGGACCTTTTCTTTTTAGATCGTTATATTTTGGCTATGAAAAGGGGGAATTTTCAAAATTTCAGTATCAAAGTGTCATTACATGTATTCCAAAAGAAGATAAAGATAGACGTCATTTAGCTAATTGGCGCCCAATTAGCCTTATGAATACTGACACGAAGATTGCTTCTGCTGTCATTGCTAATAGAATAAAACCTGTTTTACCATCTATTATCAGTGACTGTCAGAAAGGCTTTATAAAGGATAGATTTATGGGTGAGAATACGCGTCTATTGTATGATTTGATGCACAATTTAGAAAAACATAACAAAACTGGTCTTTTACTATTAGTAGATTTTGAAAAGGCTTTTGACTCTATCGAATGGTCTTTTTTGAAAAAAGCATTGAAGAGTTTCAATTTTGGACCAT